AGCAGGCGCAGGAAGAGCTGCTGCGGGAAAGAAAGTCCAACGAAATGCTGCGGTCAAGGCTGGGGCAGCAGCAAAAAGGAGCAGCAGCACTAACTCCAGAAGTTGCTGCTGCAGTTGGCCGCGTAATGCGGCTGGGGGTTGTGTCTTCTGCTGCAGCGCAGCAGGCGCTGCATGCAGTCAAAACAGCAGCAGCAGCAGCGCACGACGAGGGCAGGAAGCAGGCTTTGAAAGATGCTGCTGCTGCTGCTGCTCACCAGGAGATTGCTGCGCTGCAGCAGCAGCGCCAGCAGCAAGATAAGGAGCTCGCTGGCGTGCGTCAGGTGCTGCAGCAGCAAACGGCGGAAAACCAGGTGCTGCAGAAGCAGCTTGCAGAGCAGCAGCTGCTGCTGCAGCAGCAAGCTGCTGCTGCGGAAATGGAGCAGCACAACTTGCTGGCGCAGCTGCGCCGCACTCAAGAGGACCTCAGGAAAGCCCAGCAGCAGCAGCAGCAGCAGCAGCGGCAGCTGCAGCAGCAGCAGCAAAAGCAGCAGCAGCTGCTGGAGGGACAGAGCGCCGTAGAAGCTTCAATGCTCTTGATGTTGCAGCAGCAAGAGCAGCAGCAGCAGCAGCAGCAGCAGCGGAAGGCAGCCATGTCAAAGCGCGTAGTGCACGGGCAGCTGCTGCAGCAGCAGCAGAGACCCGGGAAGGTGCTGAAGCTGCAAAAGGCAGGTGACGTCAGTGCTGCAACAGCAACAGCAGCAGCAGCAGCACCAGAAGCAGCAGAAGCAGCAGAAGCAGCAGAAGCAGCTGGTGAGCAGGAGCAGCAGCAGCCAGCCGAAGAGCAGCAGCAGCAGCAGCAGCAGGAGGGCGAGCCCACTAGCGAGTCCCAGCAGCAGCCGCAGCAGCCGAGCGAAGCAGAGGAAGAGCAGCAGCAGCAGCAGCAGGAAGAAGACGAGCAGCAGCAGCAGCAGCAGCAGCAACACGAAGAAATGCAAGAAGATGAACAGACACACGAGTCTGAGCTGCAGCTGCCAGACACAAGCAGCACCCCTCAAGACATAGGGGAGGAAGCAGCAGCAGACGCTGCTGCTGCAGCAGCTGCTGCTGCAGCTGAAGAGCAGCAAGAGCAGCAGGAGATGCTCACCGAGCAGCAGCACCAGCAGCACGAAGAGCAGCAGCAAGACGAAGATGACCAACACGACGAAGAGCAGCAGCAGGAGGAGCAGCAGCAGCACGAAGAGCAGCAGCAGCCGGACGAGCAGCAGAACCAAGAAGAGCACCAGCAGCAAGAAGAGCAGCAGCAACATGAAGAGCAGCAGCAGCATGAAGAGCAACAGCAACAGCATGAAGAGCAGCAGCAGCAGCAGCAGGAAGAGCAGCCGCAGCAGCAGCAGGAAGAGCAGCCGCAGCAGCAGGAAGAGCCGCAGCAGCCTCAGGAAGAGCAGCAGCAGCAGCAGGAAGAACAGCAGCAGCAGCAGCAGGAAGAACAGCAGCAACAACAGGAAGAACAGCAGCAACAACAGGAAGAACAGCCGCAGGAGGAAGAGCACCAGCAAGCTGAAGAGCAGCAGCAGCAGCAGCAGCAGGAAGTGCAGCAGGACTCGTCTCCAATGGAAGACGTCAGTGAGGAGTCGCCGCAGCAGCAGCAGCAGCAGCAGCAAGAGGGGGAGCAAGAAGAGCAGCAGCAGGAAGAGGAGCAGCAGCAAGACATGTATTCTCTAATGGAGGAAGATGATCAGCAGCAGCAGCAACCTGACTCTGCCTCGACAGCAGCAGCAGCAGCACCGGAGCCCTCCGCAGCGCTTGACTCTGCCCCGGTGGAAGAGCAGCAGCAGCAGCAGCAGCAGCAGCCGCAGCAGCAGCAGCAAACTGACGATGAGGGGCCTGAAGAGCTCGTAACTGAGTCTGCTCCTGCAGCAACATGGAGCTGATTTGTTTTGTTATTTTCAGCCGCAGCTGCTGCTGCAGCAGCTGCAGCAGCTGCTGCTGTAGCAGCTGCAGCAGCTGCAGCAGTTGCCGCTGTAGCAACTGCAGCAGCTGGCGCTGCAGCTGCATGAGCACAGCGCAGACTGTAAAGTAACTGCAGCAAAAGGATGGCAGCAGCAGCAGCAGCAGCTGCTGCTGCTGCCGCTGCTGCTGCCATCCGCGCCTAATTATTCTTGTCGAATTTGAGGTCGGGCTGCAGCAATTCACTTCTCTCAAGGCAGCAGCAGCAGCAGCAGCACTGCTGCTGCTGCTGCTGCTGCTGCTGCTGCTGCATAGGTTGTCCACAGTAAGCAGCAATCGGGGAGAGATGTGTAGCAAGACACACACGGAGGCATAAAAATATATTTTGAATTTAATTTTACTTTTAATTTCACTTTTAATTTATTTTTACTTTTCTTTCAGTTTTTAAATTATCTAAAAGCATTCAAATGGTTAAAGAGCTGCTGCACTTGGCAGGCAAGAAGCAGCTTTATGGGGGAGCGATGGCTGCAGCAGCTGCAGCAGCAGCTGCAGCAGCAGCTGCAACAGCAGTGGC